TGAATAAAGGACAAATATTTTAACCAAATTTTCACCAGATAAAGACGCTTGTTAGACTCATGTTTTTTTTTTTTTTTTTTTGACAGAAGCTGATTTAGAAAAATATTTATTTTGTCTTATTTTATAATTATTTTCACTTTGGTCAATAAAAATACTTTTTTATTTAATTTCTTAGCTACTTTCTACTATTATGTAAGAACAAATATGTTAAAGTAGTGCTGCTTTTGGTTGAGTACAATTTTTGGCTACTTTACCAGATTAGATCAAATGTTTCTCACCCTGGCAGCATCAAAGTTGGCCTGGACTGCAGGATCGGGACATTTTCCAGACCTGAGATTCTGGGCGCTGCCTCCAGCGGCCAGCAGCATAGTCAAAGTAAGAATCTGCACAGCGTTCATCTTGTCGCCTCAGTCTGCAAAGAGTAAAACAGAAAAAGGCAGCTGAAAGACGAGTCAAAATCCAGCCGCTTTAGGAAGGTGTCGTCTGCTCACCTCTGTGAAACCAGCAGGAGTGACCACATCCCGCTTCTGGAGGCTTTTAAAGAGCCAAACGTCTCCAGGCTTCAGCCCCTCCTTGTTGTTTGATGACGTGAGAACTGGCACCTGTTCAAATGAAACAGACTCTCTCCAAAGATATTCACCTGCACAAAGTTTGGTTAGGCTGCTAAATAATGAACTTATCTGGACTCGAGTAGCTTTAGACATTAATTTAAGAAAAACATAAATTTGACTGTAATTGTAGTTTCTATCAAGGCAAGGCTTAATGTTTTAGATACAAACCATTTTAGGAAATGTTTTATATCTAAATTTACTGTCTGTTGGCATCATAATCTGAAATAAAGTTAGGATAGCTCTTGTTATAAAAGTAAAATATGTGAAAATATATTTCAACTTTCAATCATTTTACAGACAAGGGGAAGATTTGTTTTGCCTGACATGACATTATGCATAAAAAAGCATGTTGATGAAATGAAACATTAATCCATAACCCCCCTCCAAAAAAACAACAACAACAATGATTTTATTCCATTAATATCTTTACATTTTTGGGGGTTTATTGAAAATTATGGAAAAGGTTTTCTCCGGACAAAGTTTATATCCAGTCCACTAAATTCTGAAGTTTTAGCTTCATTTAGTCTAAATTAAAATAACTTTACAGATGACTGAAAGTTGATAAAACTTTAAGCAGAAACGATTTGACTTTCAAGCATTTCATCCAAAAACAAAAACATAGAAACTTGCAGGTCTGAGTTGCTCAGAAAACAAAATAAAGTCAACAAAACAGTCACACCAGCGCATATTGCAGGTTTCGTTTGTAAAATCTACAAAATAATCTTAATCTGCTCTTCTCTGCTCTTATTGCACTAAATTAGGACTATGTCTGCAAATTAACATGACTGTTTCTATAATAGTTGATGAAATTTTTGACATTTCTGAGAATTTATGAATGAAACTGGAAAGAAACTTCATTGTAGAATGAGAGGGAGACAGATATTTCTGGATAAAATCAATGCTGCTTAGTTAGGCTCAAGAGGAAACTGGTAAATGATTCTAAAATCTTCCAACACGTTGATTGAACTGACCAATATCCACCTGAATCTGACCTGCTTCTTTACAATGTACGTTTTAACCATAAAGTGAAATGCTGCTCAGTAAATGGAAAACGAACGAGACGTTACACAACCGAGACACATGACTGACCGACTTCAAGGTAAATAGACTTAGATAACACAAATCTTTAGAGATTGGGTTTGTTAAATAATTTACTCTTGTTGAATATGTTGTAATCTAAAGCTAACAAAGTGTTTTCTAAAAAATTATATTGCTTTTGTCTCAAATAAAGAAAACCAGTTGTGTCAGTCGCATAACTAAATGGGTGCAAAAGAAAAAAAATAAATAATAAAAAATAAATCAATTAAATCAAATTAAGATTATCTTGTTTTAGGTCAGTTATTATTAAATTATTTCTTGTTGCTAAATGTTTTTTTAATTCTAAATTACAATAGACAATTCTTATTTTACATATACACCTATGAATACACTTAATATACTGACAAAATAGTGCATAAAAATTAAAAACAATTGCAATGCAGAAGTTTCAGCCCTTTTTTTGTTGCTTTTTCAACTAAAGGAAAAAAAAAGATAAAAAATAAAACTAGACAACAAACTCAACCCTCCTTTCCATCTCAGCTCCCCAAAGTCACGGATCTGGTTGTCTTGATCCAGTCAGTTTGTAACTTCCTCATTTTCACATAATGCGTTTTCCTCATGATGCCATCTTGTTTGTGATGCACAGCAAAAAATCTGATGCTGCAGCTCCTGTACAACACAGAGGAGACGGTGTTTGCAGCCTTTCAAGCTATCCTCCTAAACATGCAACTATATAGTATATGAAGCTCCCCTTTATTGTCCTCTTTTAAAACTGTTTCAGCATTCTATTGATTTGATTGTCTTTCTTTTCTTTTGTCCTTTCCATATTTTTAATGTTCATTGATGTTATCTGTACATCAGTTTGTTGCTATTTTAAAGTGCTTTATAAATTAAACAGTAATAGTTTATGAATAGGGGAATAGTTCAATCATAAATCCTTTAGTGATTCAAATATAAACTCAACATATCATGTCACACTGTCTTACAGATTTAAACACATTTTTCCTGGGGATGTTCTTTGAATAACCATCGGAGCAGTCGGTTCAGTTTAGGCGACAGATCGTCCTTCAGGTTTTGACCCCAGTCATCCCTCAGCAGCAGGAAACATTCTCAAGCTCTAGTCCACGTGTGTTGCTGCTCACTTTCAGGGTTTTCCGTCCTCCCTCTGTGGTAATGTACAGCTTGTATATGTGTGCACAGCTGCAGGGGCATCAGCAGCATGGCTGCATATGCTCTGGCACGTGAGTCTTTTGCTAGAAGATCAAACTCGGTCTTTTTGTAAACTTTGAAAAGTTTCTTTTTGGATGAAAAAAGAAACAAGTGCCTGATCATTAAAACTCAATATGAAGATATTGTTTAATTTCCCGAAAGGTCAGCTGATTTCACATTGCTCAAGCATATTAAAGCTCCTCTGCTGCCCTCTAGTGGACAAAAACACAGAGCCAACTTTCATATCTAAAGGTAAAATATATTCTGTTGTATGATTAATTCAACAAAATACCCAACCTGATTTTAGTATTTCAAGCAAGAAACTGTTTCAGAAGTAGGTCCTCCTTTTCTGCTCTAAGTCAGAACAACAAATCCCCATTGCAGTGACATATTGTTGCCTTCACAAGATCATAGGTCCAGATGGTTTCCCAAAGTGTGCTTCTGGACGAAGGCCGCAGGAAACGAATAATTGCCTTCTGGCGTATTGAACTCTTAAACTGGAGTACCTGGAGAGAACCCACTCATGCACCAGGAGAACAACTCCATGCAGGGATTCAAACATAAGAATGTTTTGCTGAAACATAATTGAAAGAACCCCGCAATTTTATAATTCGTGAAACCTCACGGGACAGAATACCAGCACAAAAAAGAAAATCCAAATACAGAACCTTGTGATGAGATTAAAAGAGACCAAAACTCTCCTCAGGATCCACCTTTGCATGCTGCATCTTTAATACATTTCTCAACTCTTTGATATTTCCTCATTATCCTGCAGCCCATTTGGCTGTGCGCTCGCTTCTGTCCTTGATCTTCTGACCAGTCGAGCTCATTGCCTCCATCCTGGCAGAAAGCAGCCGCTGCTGCTTTACCCGGGCTTTGATGTGTCTGGCTGCAGCTAACAAGTCTTTCCTCCCTGAAATACAAGCTGGATATATTAGCTGGAAATTGAACCTTTTGATCTTTTTTTCTTCTTCTTTAGTTTAATCTTGTTTGTCGTCGGAGGGCTTTGTCTGGAGGCAGACAGTATTTAATAGATTTCTGCATGTAAATCACTGTGTTTATTTTAGAGTATTTGTGTTATCAAACAGCAACAGGACCTTACAGATAATAAAATGTCAGGTTACCGACTCGAGTTCTGGCTTCTCATTCTTATGGAATCTAAAGTTTTCTGTGAAATAAAAGTTTTTAACCTTGTCCTTGCATGTCTTTGCTGCACAAAATCCATTCCTTTCAAAAAAATAAAAAATAAAAAATAAAAAAAATAGTGAGAGGATTCAAATATTCATATTCCTTGAACTTTTCCACAGCATTTATTGTATAACAATAAGAGTATTAAATTATGATTGATAGTGATTTATTGTTAGCTTGTAAAATGAAAAGAAATCAACGCTGCATTTTTAAAATCTTCATGAAAAAAAAAAAAAAAACAGAAATCTGAAAAGTGTGATGTACATTTAAATTTAACTCGTCCTACCATACCAAACCAAAATTCAACATTCTGGCCCACAAACAAAACTCTTTACAGTTGCCTCATTTTTTCTCCTGTTGTTACTCATCTTTTATATTAACCCTAACCCTTTTCTTTCCTTCTTCTTTTTTCTTTTTTTTTTATTGTCACAAAGGAATGTTGTGCAATTCCTTTGTGTCCTTCGCCTGATGCCTTCATACATTAAGATAATTTTCTCTCAAACTATCTGCAAAACATCTTCGGCCAAATGTAGATGAGCAGATGTGAGTAAACTCAATTTGACAACTGAACAGAAGAGGACTAAATGCTAAACTTGAATCTTAAAGAGTTTTAAAAAGTGCATCTTAAGTTCGATACCACAAAAACTTCTCAGCTGAATTGAAAATGACCATCCTCTTTGTGAAACTGTCTTGGGAAGGCAGAGCATTTTCAGTATGCACACTTCTGACTGCAGATAAATCAGTGGAAAAATCTGACAAATGAGAACAAAAAAAGCTCAAGTTTCCATTGCAGCCCACCTCAAGCAGGAGAACCTTCGGATAACTTTGTGACATTCCAGTCAGAGCGTCACCCATGACTCTGATTTGGTAATGACCGACTTTACGCCGGTAATAAAACTGGAGAAAGACAAAGAATCTCATTGATTTCAGAGATGTGCAAAAACTTTGTGAAGAACAACGTCTCCGAGTCAAACCCTGAGATCTCTGAGGAGAGAACACGGATCCACAAAGAGGAACAAAACCGGTAAGATAAATGTACTTTCTCTGACTAATTTAAACATTTATTGATTTTAAAATACCAGCAGCTTTTGTTGCTTTTCTGCAGGTGATGCAGCCTGCTCTTACCATGAGGGTGTTTCTGGCTTCGATTTTTGTGCTTGTGATCCCCATCATTCGGGCTCAGGTTCCCCACTGGGGTCCGTGTCCAGAACCAGAAGTCCAGCCCGCCTTCATCCTTAAACAGGTAACAGGATTCCCAGCGTGAGTCCAAACTGTCTTTGAATGACCTGATTGAAAAGGTTTCAACAGCATTCAAGTCTCACAATTTAAGTTGCTTTTTTTCCCCCTTTTTCTTACCAAACATTAGAATTAAACAGCATTAAAATATTGCAAAACTCTTTTAAAAATAATTTTACAATAGAGAAAATATTAATGGTGTTAATATTTTTAAAACCTTTTTCATAAAGTGAATTTAAAACATTTGTGCAAATTTGAGAAAAACTGAGAAATTATTATTATTACATGTTAAAAATTTTACTATTTAATCTTCTCATTGCAAAATGTCGGGAATGCATTTATCTGCAATTGTTAAAAATAAAATCTCGCTGTGGTAAAAGGTTGTGTATTGAAATGATGTTAAATAAGATGGTTTAGATTGAACAATGGATATGCAGTATTTCAAAATCAAGCATGCATTTCTGCTATTTTATGACAAAGAAGCAACATCTTATCCTTTAATCTGTTCTCAAACAGTGCACAAACTACTATTTAACTGAAATAGAACATAAAGTGATGCTTTAAGTGCAGACTCACTAAGATATTCTCTAGTATATTGTCCTTGAGGGATAAAAAAACCCGGAGAGCGCAGGGTAGTTAATGACTTTCCACTGCAGATACAGAGTGGGCCTGAAAGCTAACCTGTCGCATGTTTCTGTAAACCCATTACAGTATGTAGATTTATTCACAGTCTCCTCTCACGTTGCTCTAAATTGCCTCTGAACCTGTGTGTCCCTGGCCCTCGCAGTTCATGGGGAGATGGTTTGAAATTGCCAAGCTGCCGGCCCAGTTTGAGAAGGGCCGCTGCATCGAGACCAATTTCACTCTGACGACGGACAACTCCATTCGAGTGGTCAGCTCGGAAATACTGTGAGTCACTGCGAGCGGGAACCTTGTGGAAATGTGTCAGGAGGTGCTTGTTGGCACCGTTTAGGGCTGCGCAAAAACTCTGTGTGTGATTTTGTGTGTGTCAGAAAAGGAGAGGTGAGGAAAATAGTGGGAACCGGAGTGATAGAGGATCTGAAGAATCCAGCTAAACTGGGAATAACCTACTCCTACGGTCAGCGGGAATACATCGGAGTAAAAATGATCACCTCTTGTTTATGTTCTGACCTTTGACTTTTACTCTCTGTGTCTACTCAATGTAGTCCTCCCTTACTCCCCTTACTGGATCCTGTCCACTGACTACGTGAACTTTGCCCTGGTGTACTCCTGCACGGATGTCCTCAGGCTCTTCCATGTGGACTTTGCCTGGATCCTGGGCCGCACCCGGAGCCTGCCGGACGCCACCGTGGAGAAGGCCAGGGAGACCTTCGCCACCAACAACATCGACGTGACCCGGATGATCCCCAGCAGGCAGCAGGGATGCGACAAAACTCTCTGAGGCTGCGGCGAAAAAGCAACACAAGATGGCGCCGTTGCAGGTGGAAGAAGAGAAACGATTGCAGATTTTTTTTTCTCCCCACTCTTTATTTCTACAGAGAAGAGTTTTAATATTTTATTGCAGTTGTAATGAATAGAGCAATCTCAGCTGTTTGCTTGCTGATTAAAGTACATTATTTGAAAGCTTTATGTTCATCTGGAAAAATATTTGCTAAAACATTTTGCCGTTTCTAATCAGACATCTATTAGGAAAGCCTCAGTGAACTAGATTCATTTTATTACAAGGAAACAGCTGTGTTTTTTTTTCAGTGAAAACACATGATACTGATTGCTTTATTTGTCTCTCAAACTCCAAACATGAAGGTTCTCATTAGTCCCAGCAGAGTCAGGAAAACATGTGACCTTTCTTGATTTTTTGACAAATTAACGTGAAGCATTTTTCTGGGATTATTCACCTCAACCAGATGCTAGTTTTGTTTTTGATGACTGATATAAAACCTTTGTGGAATGTGCATTAAACTGCAGAATATAGTCAATGGATGCCTCAATAGTAAAATGTGCTACTTGGATCAATCTTCAATGAAACAATTTACATAAGAGAATAAAAATCTGTATGTTTTGAAAGTAAAAACTCTGTTTCAAAACACTTAATATTTTATTAAATATTAAATCTCAGAAATTTAATGATTAAACTTGCTGTCATTTTCTTGCCATTAACGATGTGCTAATTTTTTATTTTATTATTCACTTTTAAAAAACAACCATTTACTGTCTCAATTGGTTTTTGTTTGTAGCCAGATTTCTGTTGGCCTTTTAATTTAAAGCAAAAAAAAAAAAAAAAAAAAAAGTATATATTGGAAAGCAATTTATAGTTAAGGTCAAGATTATTCACACCTCTTGTAGGTGTGAATAATAATTGTGTTTTTAAACTTTAATCAACAGTCTTACTGGAAATAAAGTAAACATGTTTTTTTTCTTTCACTGATGCTCTTTTGACATTGTTTTATTTTCTTTTGAGACATAAAAGCACCGTAAATAAAAAGTTTTGGTTGAATGAAAGTCATTTAAAAACCAAATCTGTAGGGATTTTGAGTTTTTCTGTACCTGAGCTTGCAGACAAAGCAAATAACCTTATTTTATAAAGTGTTTTTACAACACTCAAGCACTGCACTTTTGAGAAAAATGAACACCAAATCAATTACAAAATTAAACAGAAATAATAAACATATTTGCAAGTTTAATAGATGAAGTTTAATTATTGATTCACATTTACAGAAGATAGTAGATATCTGACTGAAATACAGCATTTTTCTTCAGTGCAGTGACGCGTGCACCTGTCTAACACTTTTGCCCTCTTGTTTGCACAAACAAAACAGGACACAGTTGTTTTCAGCTTTATGTTTGCATAAATTTCTGCTATATTGTTGTGGCAGTTTTCATTGTTCAGCATAAGGAGGGGGAGCTGTCAGAGGCCACGCAGGTGGCGAAGAGCTGCGATGAATGATGCTCTCCAGGATGCATCGTGGTGGTTTTTCAGCAGCGGCGTGCAGAGTGCTCTCACACACACACACACACACACGCACACACATAAACATCCATATTTCCCTTCAATAACAACACAATAACTCAGCCTCCAGAGGCTTCGTAGAGGCTCACAATTATACATGAAACTGTAGATTTAATTAGATGAAACTTACAGATCCCGCTTACTCACTATGACTCAGTCTGAACGGCTCTGTGGGCTTTCCACAGTGAGCTGAGTGGGAGTAAAATCTGGATCATGGGGCACACAGCTCAGACGTGGCACTTACCCCCATAGAGGAGAATGTAAACTCTGCAGACACACAAAGACGAGCTCTGCCAGCTTAAATACTGCAAAGAGAAGACGAGAAATCCTCAATCAATGTCAGGCTGCTAAAGCAAGCAGATACCAGGACGAAAATATTAAAATAATTGTGAATTAAAAAGTAAATCAACCAGTTTCAAAAGGTAACACCAGCTCCTCTGAAAATAATTAACTGTGGGAGAAAAAAATAAAAAGTCCTGGATGGATAAATCTGTGGTTGATGATTCCTGATTATAAAGTAGTTCATCAGATAATTTAGGTGTTAATCAGGAGCCAAATTGCAGAAAGTTCATTAGGAGCTGCTGCACAGAATAACAAGCTGTATACTGATTGAATCAGGGGCAGAGATTAGCAGCAGGAAGAGTTAATGATGGTCTAATAAGAGTAAGGGGCAGCGTTTTCTTCTCGTCTGTTGTTTCAACGCTGATTTCTAAATGTGGTTTTTTTAGTTGTATTGCCAGTAAAGAGCAGACTGGCTTTCCTTTTGTTCCTGTAAGATGCATGTTTGCTGTCTGACAGGCTGGGGGAAGCAAATACTCATTCAGACGAGAAGTTTTTTCCACATATGTAAAAAGGTAAGATACAAACCATTCTAATCACAAGCCTAAAAATACAAACATGTCAGACTCGTTAAAGATATTCCTTCAAATTTAACAAATACTACAAATGACACAAACACTAGTGTCTAATTCTACTTACTGAGATATTAAATCCAACAATATAATAGACTGCAAAGAAGCATTGGGAATTAAATAAACTAAACATGAACATTTCTTTGTTAAAAACTATGAACTCGTTTTCTTTGAGTTATTTTGGATCTAAAAGAGTTGCATTTTTTGTCATTTGCTCTTTGATTGGCTGCTTTGCAAACGCCAGCCAATAGTGTGTCAGTACCATCCCAATTATGAGTTTCCCCTTTCAAAGCTACATTTTCTCTTGAGTATTCCAGAAATTATTTCCAAAAATATGTATGGAAATGTTCAAATAATCATTTGTAGTAAAAGTCACAAAACAAACAAAAAAACAGGTTATTAGTCAACACTGTAGCACTATAAATATAAATTGTCTCTATCAACATGTCATCAACAGCCTTCTAGAAAATAAATCTCCTGGAGATTTTACTTTATTCCAGAGTATATATATTTATTATTTATCAAACAAATCTATATTTCAAGGTTTTTACTCACAAAAAAACATAAACAAGAAACCAAACTAACAAAACCAGAAAGACAAACCATAAAAGATCAGAATATATTTGATGTGAATAATGAATGAATATTCTTGAAGTTTTCCTTCAACTGATTCAAACTTTGAAAGCTCAAAGATTTCCACAGATGTTTCCCAGGACCCTGTGGGGACAAAAGTTCTTTCATGCCTGATATCTAACTTCACCAATGGGAAATGGGATTACACATGGAAGGAGGAAGGCAGAAGTACAGTTGTGGACTTTTTTTTATTTTTACTCTTATTGGAGCCAATAAAACCAAAACTGTCAGAGTCTCCTGCATAGATGAGACACACGCTGGCAGCAACCGCCTGCACCTCACCTGTTTCCAGTGCTGGGAAATATCACAACAAAAGTTCATCTCTCTCAGAACAGCAGGGAAATGAGAAATTGTTTTGGCAAAATCGCCCATCATCAGACTGCCTTTGATTTAAGCTTTCAAACTTCTGACTTTCAGGTGTTTTTGTAAGTTTTTTTCTTTGAGTTTTTTTTTGGACATAGTGCATAGGTGTGTACAAAATATTTAAATAACATATTGTTATTTATGCCTTTTTCCTTTCCTTAAGCTCAAAATATTAGAATTCGAGAGCAAATCAATGTTTGGGGGTAGAGTTAAAAAACTACAACACGAAAATAAAACAAAATTTCAAGATGAAATCTGAAACTAAAGTGTCCATCTTTCTATGCTACTATAGATTCAATACTGATACAATTTGGCTGAATATGTCAAGATCAGTATTATAAACTTCTACATTATGTATGTAATTACTAAAATAAACATTTTGATAATATTCTAACTTATTGAATATGATTGTATGTGTTTATTTCGATTAAACAGAAAATATTTGTTTTCAGTGAATGACAAACATCCTCTGAAGTCTTTGATATATCAAACAGCAGCATTTGCGAAAATAAAAATGGTCACATGTAGATGTATATAATTTACTCATAATTCACTTTGAAACACGTCATTAAGTCACAGATAACGTATCCGAGTAACTGAAGATTCAAAGGTTTAAAAGGAGAGGTTTCAACATTGTTGAAGAGAGTTCTCTTTGTTTTTAGGGTTTTAATTTTGCGCCTGCAGAGAAAGCAAAGTTATTCTGCTGCAAAAACACAATATACTGGAGGTTACCCTGTGCATGACCTGAGAAGAGAATAATGTCGCATCCAGGGAGTCCCCTGTGTCACAAATAAAAGTGGGGGGGAAAGAAAATCCTACACTAATCATAACAGCAGTTTCATGGAAATGAAAAAGTAAAACGAAAGCTCATATTTTCTCAAGTCAATAACAGCCACAACAAACTTGAATTATTTAAAACGGTTGGTACTTCAGTCTATTTTTGCAGTGTTTATCCAGCATTCCTGAGCAGCTGGATGAAAAGCTTCGGTCCGGTCTCTGCTGGAACATGGGCGGCCAGAAAGCAAAATCTTTGTTCTGATTGCATCAGCTTCTCATTGTGCAATGAGACTTCTGAGATTTGGTTAGAAAGATTATTTTTAAAGGATTGAAGAATCACATTTTAGCAAGTTCTAGGTTTAAAACTACAAGGACTGAAATTTTGAAAGAGTTTAATAAAACTTTACACTCAGTGACGACGCTCTAGGATGTAATATTTGTTAGAAATGTTCAAATGCAGGATGTCTGTTCCAGTTGGTTGAATCGAAGTGAACTGAGGAGGAGTCTGTCATGTTCGGATGGGGAATCGTCAGTCAGGGCAGATTGAATCTATTAGCGCTCAGTGATTAGCTCCTGGGCGTCTGAGCTCTTCTGTTTCCTCAGCAGGAAATCTCTTTACTGGCCTTGAAACCTTCAGCATTTCCCGCCCCTCTTTTATAAAAACCCGTTTCATGCCGGAGTGTGATCCCTGTCCCGAGGCTTCGCTTCAAACAGCCTGGGTTTCACACCATGTGTGACACAGATTCGACGCAGACCCCTCGGCGGGAGCAACGTGGATGTGTTTGGCGTGAGGCTCATTCGAGGTGACAGCGGTTATTCCCCTCTGATGTACATGTGTGCCATTTTACTGCCTCATGGACACGACTTCTCAATCCTCTCTGGCCCAGATATTATTCATAAAGAGATTTTAAATGTTCATTAATCTGAACAATCAGGTGCATAATGCGCCTCGGTTCTTCCTCAGTCACAGCCGTAAATGGCTTTGGCGGTTTGGCCTCATTTACTGTATGTTATGAAATATCCAGGCTACAGCAGCACTGTGGAAAATAACTTTATTGGATTGTATATCTCTCTCTCGAAAGCTTCATGAGACTCTTTGCGTATTAGCATCTTGAAATTGCACTTTTGCCATCAATGTTATACTGGCCGAAATATCAATTCAATCTTTTGGAAGAAACTGATTTAGGGTGTATTCAGAACGGACAGTCTGGTAGACTCGATTCGATTAGGGACTAAAATTGCAACATTTGTTACATTTTCAGAACTCTAGTTTGCATTCACACTGCACTGTGTCAAACAACTAAGACTAACTAAAAACCGGCTCCTGTCGCCTGTGGGGGCGCTGCACCAAGAACTAAACCTCTGAAGAAGACCAGCGCAACTTTCTGCTTGACAAACGGAGCAGTGTCAGATTTTAGCGGTTGTAGAATATT